AGATGCTATCACCAAGAGATCATCCTCCTCCTCCTCCTCCTCCTCCTCCTCCTCCTCGGGCTTCCCAACTCATCCCATGCCCTGTTTGGTGTTACTGTCAAGCCTAGGAGAGACCTGGCCTTGCCCTAATCCTTGCACTGGATTTCTCAAGAAATGCAAGCCAACATGGTTTCCTTGCCAAGCAGATGACCTCCAACTGGAGATGACCCAGAGTCTGCTCCATTTGGATTTTGGCACACAGGAGCAACCTCTGCAACACCTCAAATCATGAAGCGGGTGGGCTGCCCTTGGGCACCGGCTCTGCCTACCCACCCTATTCCTTAGGCCCTTACAAGCAGAAAGCCAGGGCCGGCATCACACAACTGCCTGGCTTTAAACGCACAGCAGTCAAGGCAGAAATGCCGGCGGAGGCTGTAAAGCAGAAGCAGCGATCGCCCTTCTCAAAAATCGGGCTGGTGTTGACAGCGGGCCCCTGGGAGCCGCTCCCTAGGCTGAGGAGCCGCCCAGCCTGGCCGATTCTCATCTGCCGGGCCGGCTTTTGCCCAGCATCATCTCTGCCTTCCTCCGCAGCTGCCCCGGGGCTCCTTCCTTCGGGGCGCTGGGAAAGGCGGCGGGGGCCGAAACTGGAAGGCCCCCCCCGGTCCGTTCTGCCCTGCGGAGTCGGCCGATGTCCTCTCAGCCCCGAAAACCACCCGTGGCCCCGGCCGAGGCATCGCCCCTTCCAGGTTGTCCCCTCCCGGCGCCCTCCGGTTCCCGCCGCCCGCGCCAGAGCAGGCGCCCCGCGGAGACCATCCGGGCGCACAGCCCCTGCTCGCAAAGCAGCGATCTGGCGGGCGGCACCACCGGCCGCGCTCGGGACTGACAGGACTCGGCCCCGGCGAGAAGAGCGCTGCGGCGGGGCCACCGGGCGGCAGGAGCGGCGGACGCCGCCGCAGAGGCGCAGGGAGCTGCCACCGGGCGGGCTGCGCAGGGCTGGGCGGGCGCGCGCTCAACGGCGGCTCTGCCGGGCTCCCCGCCGTCC